AATCCATCATCGTCTAAATGTGAAACACTTATTAAGTTTCTACGCAAAGAGGGTACATAAAGAACATCTATAAGCTTAAGTATAAAGCCATCATTTAATTCTAATGAGAGTTCTCCAATGGCTTCTACTTCAGCTTTGACTCCATTTGCCATCTTAATGTGTCTTTCTCCTCTTTGCAGGGTCCTCCTCGTATGAAATCCCTATAATGAATTTGCAATATGAATAGTTGCACCTGAATCAATCCACCAATTAGATTTTGCATAACTTAAATATAAGGACTCATCTACAAATGTAATAATGTCCTCACCTTTTCTGATTAGGTGCTTCAAGAACTCTAGACAATCTTTCTGGTAGTGTCCAGTCTTGTGGAACCATTTGCAGGTGTCCTTGTCGACTTGAACATAGTTGAATTTCTGATGGTGATCTTTCTGAGGGGCCTATTCTTGTGACTTAGAAGAGGTTTCCCTTGTGGTTTAGCACTCTTGTTGTTAAAATTCTTCTTTTTATTTTCCTTCACATGGTTGACAGAGTCACCATGTGAGCTCTTAAGCCTCTCCTCTTCTTACACACACATGGCAATGAGCTTCTCAATGTCCCACTTATCTGGCTATAAGTTGTAATTAACAACAAAAGTCTCGTACTCTTTGGACAAAGATGCAAAAACCAAATAAATTAGGAACTCATCCTTGAGCCTCGAGTCCATTGGCTTGAGCTTAGATGCCATGTTGCTCATCTTCAATATGTGCTCTCTAATCCCTCGACCAGAGTATTTCTCATTGACTAACTTCTTAATAAGAGTGCTTGCATAAGCCTTTGAAGAGCCAGTGAACTGACTCTCCACCTTCTTGAGATACTCAGTGGCGGTGGTACATTCTGGGATTGAACCCCTTATTGGATCCTCAATGGAGCCCTTAATCACCATCAAACACTTGTGGTTTGAACTATACCACTTCGCACGATCAAGGTCGTACTTCATTCTCACTTCTGCATGGTCACGCTGTCGAGTAGCGAAAGCTGCATCAGTCTCATTTGCTTCCCTCACCGGGTCCACTGGTTCAGTGGGACATGGAGAGATAAGTGCTAGATCAATGTCAGAGAGCGCAAGTGCTATCTGAAGCTTCTCTCGCCATGTGTTATAGTTGCTCTCATTGAGAGACGGAATGGACGAGATAAACGTCATTGGGTTATAGCCTGAAAACAACGTCAGAGAAAATGAGAAACGATTGACATAATAATTACATGCTGTAATTTAACGTTGGTCAAAATTAAGATATACAATGTACTTCTACATTAATCCTACATCACCGTTGGGTAGAAATAGAATTAATGTATAAAACTCATAGATAAACTTATAATATTGTTATTATCAATATTGGTCAGAAAAATAACAATATCATAATTAGCTAAAAAATAATAATAACTACTCTTCAAAATTAAAATCTCCCATTGGTTCGAATTTAATTAGAAGATAAGAATCATCAACTTTGCAGCAGAAACATTAATAATATACTTAATATCATATTATCCAGAAGCATTATCATTTACTTAACTACTCTCTGAACAAAAAATTCGCGTTGGTTCAAATTTGAGTAGAGATTAAACATTAAACTTCAATAATTTCATCAGAATAATGCTTGTGGAAAATAAAAAGCAAAAACCAAGTTGCACTGTGCATTCGGCCCTGCGGCCTGTTGGCCCATGGCCTGCTCGTGCCCACTGCTCTCCTCGCGCCCAGGCCACAACCTAGGCCTGGGTTGGGAAAGCCTTCACCCCCCTGGTCTTGATATGGCCCGGAGCAACACCCGCCATCGATCGCCATTCGACAGTCAGGCGTGCGGGTTGGAGGAACAAAAATGCGAGCTGGCCGCCCCAACGAAACCCTAGTTCATTTCTCCCCTTGAAACGGACCGTGACGCCTAAGAGGGGGGTGAATTAGGCAACTTAAAACTCTAACTCTAAACTATGGCCTCTTTTTATTCTTAGCAAAAACCTATGCAAAAGATAAACTATCTAAATATACAACTACGGTTTTACTAGTGTGTTGCTATCTCTACCGCAAAAAGAAGTTATGCAACCTAGGTTCCAAATCTATCAACTAGCCTATCACTAAGCTAGGAAAGTAAAGCACAAACCAAGATTGCAATGTAAATGCGGAAGCTAAAGAGTAAGGTAGGGATATGCAAATTCCCGTTGGAGCCCCTAGTCCTTGTTGGAGCCCCTCGCAAGGAATCCCTCGCAAGGGCCAAGCTTATAGTCGGGTAACTCCGTGGATAGCCCCAGGCCTTCCCCACGCGCAAGTGGGTCTCTGGTGTGCCTTCCGACAAGCCTCTCCCGGACCGCTCCCCGTCATCTTCACTATCAAGCTTACGGCCGAAACGCCATGGGCCTTGTTCCCTCTGGTATACGGTGGCGGCCACACCACAAATACGGTTGGTGTGATCTCGCAAGACTACAAGCCCCTCCAATGTACAATAATGGTGCACGCAAGTACCGAGTGGTAAGAGGTATGCAAACCTCACTAAACAATAGGCCTAAACCTAGAGCAAGCACATAAACAGTGGTCTAATCCACCTAAGCACTTTGCAAAGCACCTACGCTAATCACCTAATGAATCACTAAGCACTATGCAAGTGGAGATCACTAAAATAGTGCATCAACACCCTTGGTATGTTTCCCCAGCTCTCCTCCTCTCAAATGGCCCGTTGGGGGGTCTATTTATAAGCCCCACCGAGAAAGTAGCCGTTGGGGGCGAAACCTCAGCTTTCTGCTACTGACCAGATGCTGCTGTCATCCTAATCGGACGTGTCCGGTCGTCCTAACCGTTAGAGCGCGCGCGTTGATCGGACTCTGGGCCGAGTCCAGTCTCACTCGATCGGACACGTCCGGTCGCGCTAGCGCCGCTCTGGAACCTCTCTGGGCTCGATCGGACGCTATACTTTGTGCGTCCGGTCGTCTAGTGCCACTGTGTCCGGTCACGCTGAAAACATTGCCGTGACAAAGAACAATGTCATCGGTGCGTTCGGTCACTGCTTCACTAAGCGTCCGGTCACAGCTACTGACGCTTGCTGTTGCCGAGCAACTGATCGGACGCGTCCGATCACTCATAAGGCCACGTCTGGTCACCTCTGTGGAGCTTGTTTCTTCGCGATCTTGCGTCCAGCTTGGTTTCCATCTTCATGCTTGGACTATGCTTGATATCTTGGGTCTTCTCTTGTGCTTCTAGGGTCTTGCTTATGGTGTTGATCGTGGGATCATCATGTCGCCTTCGTCCAAGTCACGTCTTGCACCATATTGAACTACAAAACAATTACTTACAAATTCATTAGTCTAATTTGGTTGTGTTGGTCATCAAACACCAAAATCCAAAGTAAATGAGCCTAGGGTCCATTTTCCTTACACCCCTCCCCGATTCTCTCTCAGCGCCGAGCGTAGCACAGTAGCACAGCGGCAGCCGCCCATGGCGGCTAGGGAATGAAGTGGTGGCGCCATCGCGGAGCCCCTCACCGGCGAGAGCTCTCGCCCGAGGCTGAGCGCGCTGCCGTCAAGCGGCCTTGCGACGTTGCCCTTGACCCCGAGCTCGAGGCGGGGGGCCGCACGATGGCGTGACCTCCCCGGCCGGCGGCTCGGGTCTCTGCCCGCATGGCGGCGGTGCCCATCTTCCCGCTCAATGGCGGTAGCGCCGGCGGTGAGGAGGGCCCAGGTTGGTCCACCCACTCCGATTTCTATTGCTAGGGTTGGGGTTAGGGTTAGGGTTAGAGTTAGGGTTTAACCCGACTTGATTCGTTCGATTTGATTCATCCCTTTCTATCTTCTTCTCATTTTTCTACCCTAGATTCTATATCTACACCTAGGTTAGGCAAACTGATACCATTGTTGTAACTGTAGGATCATCTAGGAGTAGATCTAGCGGGTGAAACCTTTCTATTTGATATAGAACACATAGATCCGTCCTAAAACATGAACTAGAGAGAGGAGAGAGGATGAGAGACCGGAGGTGTTACCGACCATCAGTGGGCTTAGTGGAGGAGATGGCCATGGCGTCGGTGAAGAAGGCGCTGTCGAGTTGGGGTCGATAGAGAGGGGCGACGTAGTCCAGTGACGACGGCGTCCAGGCGGCGGCGAGTCGAGGAGGACGGTGGCGGCGCTTCCCGCGGCTGCTGCGCTCGCTTAGATCGGATTCGGGTTGTGTCGGTGGGGTACTGTGGCTGCGGTCAACCTCGTATTGCGAGCCGCCGGCCCCTATCTCTTTATATAGCGCAGTGCGACGGGTCTCACCAACCATGTAGGGTTGGGCGCCTCTGATCAGGGCACGGGATCAAGGCCCAAGTTGGCCGTTGAGCCAATTTTGGTGGAGAGATCAACCTAACGTGATGGCATTTGGAAAAATAACTGCTAAATCTCAAATGAGGGGGTGAACCAACTGTGATAAATGCTTTCCAACCAGCTGTGTAAATAACTGCTAAATCTCAAATATGTTTTGTCTAAAAAAAAATCCATCCGAAAATAACTCGGGTCCAACAACGGCAGCGCTGCGGCGCTTAGCGGCCACGATGACTTCACCAGTTCACGACATCTCTGCAGCCTCATGGCCTCACGCGCGGCGCGCAAACCCTCGCCTGCGGTGCAGCCCCTGCCAGCCACCGGCACCCAAGCGGCCAAGCCAAAGGCAGGAGCTAGCGGTGCGCTACAGGACAAGCAGGGACCCGCCCGTCCGCGCGCGTTCGCGGCATGCCAAGCATCATAGCGGTGGCGTCACCGCGTCTCCAATGCCTTTCCCCCACCGAGAGAGCGAGGAGAGACTGAGAGTCCGTGCCGGCCGGCATTCCCCCGTTTTGTGCGCATTGCTGCTGCCTCTCGCTCTATCCTCTCACTCGCCTCGCCTCACTGACCGCGGCCGCTCCAGCAGCAGCAGTTAGCGTTCCCAGTATCCTACTCATCGCGCCATCCCCACCTAGAGCGCCATCGCACTGGACAAGGTTAGGAGTAGTGCGGCTGCCGTGATGGGCCTGGTGGTAGTGGCGGCGGCGCTTCTTTCCCCACCGGCGCCCGGGAGCTTCAACGACGAAGGTACGTACGTGTGCCTAGTCGCCGCCTTCATTCCCGCGCCCTCTGTCGTCGTGGCAGCCGGGCGCCGGGCGCCGGCCACCGAGACCATGTGCTCTGCCTCTGCTCCCTCGATTCATGTTTCTTCCTGCGGTTTCTGATTTCTTTTGCACTGCACGTCGCCGTCGTGGGGTTCAATATGCAGTGAACACTCTGGTGGAGATCAAAAAGGCGCTGAATGACCCGAGCGGAGTTCTCCCCGCCTGGGACCCGGCGGTGATAGCCGCCGGCGACGAGCTGTGCGACTGGCCCATGGTCGTCTGCAACGGCAAGGACCAAGTTTTCAGGCTGTATGTATACTCTCCTCGCTTCTGTGGTCTGTGCACGCCTCTGTGATTCATGACGGTCGATCGTCACCGGGAGTCCAGGTCTCCAGGACCTGGTTGGAGTCTGAGCTCATGGCTCTTTTGCTTCTTCTTTTTTTCTGTTTGCAGGGATCTTTCGAACCAAAATCTCTCTGGTACATTGTCGCCAGTGATCGGGAACCTTAGGTCAATGCGAAATCTGTAAGGCTCCATCTATGAATTTCTATTTTTAGTCATTATGTTTATATAGAACATGGATGAGAAGTTTGGTTTGAATGATTACAGATTATTATGCAACAATTCAATATCTGGCCTTATCCCTGACACAATAGGCCAGATAGTGCATTTGGAAACTCTTGATCTGTCAAACAATCAGTTCTGGCTCACCTCCAGTATTTGTAAGGCCACTAGATCTTCCTGCAGCATTATTCGAATACTCCAATCTTAAGTGTTACTCCCTTCATTCCAAATTATAAGTTGCTTTGACTTTTTTTTGCTACATACCATATGTTATATCTATATATATAGTAAAATTGATCATATACCAAAAAAGTCTAAAGTGACTTATAATTTGGAATGGAGGGAGTACTAACATTCAATGTGTAATATGCTGTTCTTTATTGAAACAAAAATCTTTAACTTGCGCTTGTCTTTGCACAGGGAACTGAACAACAACAGCTTATCTGGGCATATACCTGATTCACTAGCCACTGCTAGCATGCTCTCTAACCTGTATTTTCTTTTGCTAATCTCCGTTCTGTCATTGTTGCATTGTTCTTTTAATATTTTAGTACATTGTTATAGCCTGCTTGAACTATCCTTTTTTCCCACAGGGATCTATCCTTTAACAACCTCAGCGGCCCTCTGCCCATTTTTCGCGCAAGTATTGTCAGGTAAGTGATTTCTAGTTCATATTTTTCCTTTACCTTATAATTACTGATCACCCTGTTACTTAACATGGGCTCTAGGGGTGAAGCAAGTTCGAAATGGCCTTTCCTCTTTCTCATTTAATTACTCTGTCATGTCCACAGCTTTCGAGGTAATCCATTGCTAAATCCCACTGCACAAGAGCCGCATGATTTCCCCACACCAAAGCCAGCGAATAGTGAAGGTTGTTCCTAGTTCAATTTGGGATAATTTCGATTTTGTCGTACGATTTGAAATCCTATTAATCTTACCTAAATATGCTCATAACAATCATTATCATTTTCTCCAGAAAATTCAGATGTCTTGGATGAAAGAGACGTATCCTTGATATCCTCGCAGTATGTCTATCAATTGCTTGCGTAGTGACTACCCTGATTACTGTAGTTGTCGTGGTATATCGCTGTCGCCATCGACATGAGCAGGCCGGCGCAGTTGATGGTAATAATTTTTCAAAGCTATATATATGTGTGTTCTTGTTTAACTTTGAGGGCATCTATCCGAAAGGGGGTTATAACAGGTTTATATCTTCCATTGCAGATGTTTCATCGGCTATAAGTCTTACTGACTCTGGTTTATCCCAGTACTCTATTTCTTCCTTGTTTATCCTCCCCTAACAAACTCATTTAAACATAAAGATATACCATCATGTATGTTTTAGCTAGTTTGGGCTATGATGCTACAGGGAAGCTACAAATGAGCCCATCCAACTGAAATGAAGAGTTGTGATGGAGATTCCCTATATTTTGGATCTTTTGGTTGGTTTCTTTTCTTCTTTGTGAGTTTCCTCAATTTGTATCACATTTATTTAGTTTTTGCTAAGTCAACACCAATGCACCCAAACAAATTCAAAAATTTTGTTGAATGATCGTGGTCTTCAATCGAAGAGTTTCTAGTTTTGACTTTTGAGTAGTGGCATGCCAACACAAAAGCATGTGCTCGAGCACCAGTGGGCACGCGCCCGTGCATGTAGAGTGACTGAGAGAGGGACGAAGACCAAGGACTGGTCCCTGTCATAGTGCTTCTCTCTCTGTCTCTGAGCTTCTTAGCTGAATCACCATTGAAAATATCATATATAAGAAAAGAAGGAATTCAATCATATAAATGCACCAAAACACAACTTTGTAGGGACTATATTAACAATGGCTCAAGTTCATAATAATATTAGAACAAGGTGGTTTAAAAAAGCTTCTCAGAAGTAACAACAAAAGGAAGGCCTGAATAATGGAATAATTACTAATTTGATGGCATAGATAGCAATGAAGATACCATAATCTATCTTGATGCTCTTCACCTAACGAGGTTGAGCATCATCAACTATGCCTTGAGTGAAGAGATGAGTGTGACCATAGGACTTCCAGATTTTGGATCCACGAAATAGCGAATTAGGTACCCTAAAAAAATACCTGTAAGGGAAAAGATAAAGGTGTGGCCTAATCAAATTTCACCATTCTAGTGAAATGCACTACAAGTCCCCTAAACTATTCCTACATTCTCATATGGGTCCATGATTTCTCAAAGTCATTATCGAGGTCCTTGAACTTTTCAAAATGGTTCATCCAAGTGTCTAAGGTCCATGATTAGACCTAGAGTGAACTTATGATGAACCACTTAAAAAATTGTAGGATCTAGATGATCGCTGTGAGAGATCATGGATCCAGATGAGAACACGTGAATTGTTTTGGGACTTGCAGCGCATTTCACCATTCTCAACTTGAATAGTTTCTGTCTTACGAAATCTTAGGTTTCTTGTGCACCTAACCATACTGGAGGCAGTTTGCGATTAAATTTCTAATACCATGATACAATAAAGCATTCAATTAATAATGCTATAATGCGGTCCAAGTTAAGAATGTTGTTGAGTGAAATTAAAACTACTTTGAACTTTACGTATCACAAAAGTATGAGTAGTGATCTTGGGTCATGGTCCTGATTGTCCTATGTGAAGAAACAAAATCCTTATTACCAACAAATAGAGTTCAATAAACTTTAGGCTAGGCCATGGATTGCCATGAATAATTTTGGGTTCACAAAACTAGCCTCGAGCTTGGCCATCGTACAGTATTGGTCATAGTTGTTTTGTGTCGTTGAGGACCATATGTTACAAATCATAGTTAATCCTAGAGAATAATAGGCTGAATTTCCTCATGAATAGCATCGATCCGACTAAGGGAAGCAAAATGTCCTGCCATATAGCTCAGTTCTAGATGCTATAAAAACAAAATATATGGCTGCACTGTTATAATGGCTTTGTATTCAATGCATTTTTGTCATTCGGTGCAATTGCTTCAATAGTATGTTTAGGGTACTTGTACTTGGGCAAAGCTACTTGAGTCATAGAGACCTATGTTAGTGGAGTCATGTTATAAGTGTGGTTCAAAGTTTACGCACAATTTTAAGGATTGTTGTATTCTAATCACAAATACAAAAGAATTTAGGAAAAGCGTTAGCTCATCTCGATTCGAACAAAGGATCATACTATACATAATATGTTATCACTTCATCACAAGAGAAATACATTATGAAATAAAGTGAATTTATAACGTAAGTAATAATACAAATATTGTTGGCTATTAACAATTTTATGGATGACAGTATAATATACCTAATATGATAAAAAAAAGTATAATATACCTAATATGCATATATAAGCCCCTTTTTCTGTCAAATGTGCACGACTGCATCATTATATTTAGAAGAAGAAATTCCAAGCGAGCAAGTAGAAAAAACATACAAAGAAAATGTAGTACCCGATTTTAAGATACACACCATATGTGAGCCCAGAAAGTCAAATCTCACATATAGCTACAAATAAGGGTAATATCGAAAGACAATGCTCAATATATAACATATTTAGTCTAAAAGATTTAACCTTAGACAGCAAACAGCGGAAAGACAACTCCGATCTTCGGGTGAAGACTTTAATTCTATAGGGACAACTGACTAGTTGATCACATGCCTAATTTTTCCAAACTCTAGCAATCTGGTACCCATTCGGGATTTTTATCCAAATAATTGAAAAATAAAGCAAGCGTAAGTACATGTCGTACTCAACAAATATAACATGGGGTTCATGAGGCTCAAAAGGCTGATACTGGTTTAACTGCAATTAGCTTTTAATGAGTCATCTTTCAGCGATTGGGTGTCAACAAGTTTATTCACGAGCCCATATAAAACATGATCAGGTAAACATGAATAATAAATAGCATAAACAGTAATCATTAGTAAGCATCTTTATCATCAGTATCATCAGTGTTCATCATCTATTCCGTAAGGGTCTAAGGCCGCTCGTGACCATGAGCACGGCTGATATACCAATTTTACACTCTGCAGAGGTTGTACACTTTCACTGTGAGTCGTGATTTACCCTTTCGCCCAAGGTGATCAGCCTCTTGACCCACTACCAAGGAAGGTCGACAGGGTTCACTATGAAGCCTTTCAAAGGTTCGTCTAACAAGTTAGGGTCATTAGATTCACTCGGCAAACAGATATAGAGCCCCTCCTTCCCGATGGCATATTGACGCGCAGCCTATACACAAGGGGACAGAGGCCGCACTATACCCGATTCGTCAAGCCATTCTTACGTCAATAAAGATAACCTTTAACAAGCTAGAAAAGGTCCTCATACTGAGCTAAAGCTAGAGACATGTAGCCCTCACAGTTGTACTGTAAGTTTCGGATGTTCGCTTACAGATAAGTCCTTACAGAGAGAAATCTAGAGCACCATAAAAACAACCCAATACTCTAGCCCCCTTGTTCCATATTGCTAAAAAGCATCTATTAGTGTTTATTGCATATTCCATTAGTCAAGTCATAAGATCATGGTTGTAGTTGAGCACTAGTATCATACTACCCAATGCAATACCCCATAGGTACCAAGGCACAAGGTATAAAGTACTAGGAAATTCTTAGTGGTAGTCAAGGTAGACACATGCAGCATGAATTAAATGATTAAAGGTGTATAAGACAACAGAGATGAGTCCATGCTATACTTGCCTTAAAATTAGATCCTTCTTCCAATCTAAATCATCGAAGATCTGCTTCTTGATTCACCACGTATATCTCACTGACTGGATGTAATCGTAGAACACCACCAACATCCATACACATACATGCATAGCATACAATTACATCTATATTAGAATAGTACACCAATCATAAATAAGTAAAAGAGTTTGAAATACGATTCTACGCATCGCTACGAACACACAGTCGTGAGAGGCATGCTAATCGGAGCTACGGTTTTAAAGAAACGGCTACCGAAAGATCTACTCATAAGAGAAAATATAAAACTATAAGCTTCACGTGTTTTAACTATATAAAAGCTTATATAAATTGAATTAAGTCTAATTTAGATTTGAATTATAAAACTAAATTAAAATAAATCATATTTTATTTATAGAATCTAGTTGCATAATTATTATCCCAAATCAGAGTTTAAACCATGAAATTCCAGAAATACTGACATGATAAATATTGTTACTAACGCGTAGATCATGTCGTTACGAATCTAACACATCTTGAATGGATCGAATCGAGAGCTAAAACGAATAAGTTACGATTTAAACATATTTCCTTTAGTAAAATAATAGATTAAATCAAATCATGAATTTTAAAAGTTGAAAACATATCTAACAATAGTATGAACATGTAGATTATGGAATTACGAACCTAACGCAAGTTGAACGGGTCAAATCAGAGTTAAAACGGAGAAAATATGGCCTAATGAAGATAGTGGCAATTTTGTAAATATTTTGAAATCAATTTCGTATTAAAAATAATTAAAAACCAAATTAAAACAGTCCTATGGAACGGGCGTCATTTTTGGAAAAACACAGGGGTCAAAACATAAAAACTAGGGGCATATTTTTAATTACTTTTGAACTACCCAGGACGGCAGGTTGATTACGCAAAACTGCAGGGGTTCTTTAGCAAAGTTGTAGGCAAAAGTGTATTTTGAATTAGGACGAGGACTGTAGCTAGAATTTTAAAGAAACCTTGGGGCTCTTATGCAAAAACAACATGACGAAGGGGTATCGGCCGATCTCGACCGCTACATCTGAGATGAACGGCGAAGATTAAATAGGAGGGAGTGAGTGAGGCGACGACCGGCCAGAATAGGGAGAGAAGACGGTGGCGCCATGGCCGGCGTTGAGAAGTTCATCGCCGTGCACGGGAAAACACCTACGGGCCATGCT